CTATCACACAGTGTGGTACAACTGGGATCCTCTTTGGATGAAATGGCAGAGAATATTGGTAAATAGGATTAAAAAGCATTGGCAGAAGAGAACAGGGAGCCTGATACATTAACTTCCCACCCAGTGGCTTCCCGCTCTAAGAATTTCTCCTAGCGCCGATTGGAGAGAGGGGTGGGTGGGAGAAAAGGGGATTTTTATCTTCTTAGTAAAAGAAAGAATTCAAAAACACTTTACCACTGCTCAGTTGGATGAAATCTTGATTTTGCATAGTTTAAGTTTCTACAAAGACTAACTATATTCTTGTTCAAAACGACTTATCCATTCATAGATAATTTTTCCAATGGGTACATGTGTAACTCCCTAGTAAAACTATTCTCAATCAGCTGTTTAAGAAATGTTATTCTTTCCTGTTTCTTTAGAAAGTTAATCAGTAAACTGATAAACAGCTAGTTCAGCAATAAGTTCTCCTAAATTTTGCAATTCTGTTCAGCCTTCTGATTTGTTGTTTTTACAGGTGATTTCAGCAAAATTTTGTTCTATTTCCATAGTGGAAAAATTTTTAGCTGTTGTGTTTATATACATGGCATTCTTTGTTTTGAGAATCAATTTGACCATTCTGAGCACATTTGATAAATTTACTAGCTATCTCCACGGTCTAGTTACAGATTTGTCGGGGGGGAGGGTCGAGTTATCTTGTGAATTATTTTGAGGAGAGCAGTAATGAAGGCACACTTTAGGTTATTTCATTCCTGTGATCCAAATTTGATTATCCAGCTGATATCACTAGGGATATTTAAAGCTTTAATAATTACATCTTGAGGCCTAAAGAAAAAAAAAAGCAGAACAATTACGTTTACTACACATTCACACACAGCCTTTCCGAGTGTCACCGTCTCAGAGCCTGTTTGGTTGTTTTACAAAAATAGATTGATATTAAGATTCTGCTTTAAGAATTCAAGCTCAGTTGACACTTTGTCCATTAAAAAACCCAAAAGCTAGATTTAAGTAATTGTGCTTATTTGAAAGAGTAAAACATATAAGCTTATTGATTTTACCTTTCCTTTTGGAGGACAGTTTTAGGATTTTTTCCCCTAGAAAGTTTTGAGGCTATGATCCATGCTAAAAGTGCCCTGTTCCATTATGTACCAACACAGCTTTGAAGCTGTCCCTGCTTCTAGGTCAAGGGCTCTCCCTGTGGCCAGATGCCAGTTTTATCCTTGGACTCTCATGATCCTCGGAAATAAATCAACTTTCCAGTAAAATCCTGTGATAGCTCTGTTTTACATAAAAGTGCGCAGCCTGGGGATGCGATACTGTTTTGCGTTTTAAGTGGACAAGATGGGACAGAAAACATCCGTTATCACTAGAGACAATTCCAAGTGGAGCCATTATTACAGACATCAGAGGGCTGCTTGGAGGTATCGTACTCACTCTCCCTACAGCCTCTCTAACCCAAATGCTTATGATTTGTGTGAAAATAAGAAAAGTACAAACGGTTGAAAGGGTTTTAATCTATATGTGGCATTGGCCACTACATTCCATGAGATGAATAAAGGTTGAGCAGGTCAGCTCCCTTAGGTCAATATTTCTTTCTTGTGGCAAGAAAAGAAAAAAGGAACAAATTATTACTACACATAACAACACAGATTAATCTTACCCTGTTGGAAAATTTTTAAAAAGGCTAGACACAAAATAATGTATGCTGTATTGCTCCATTTGTGTAAGTTTCAAAAACACACAAAACTAAGTTAGAACTAAGTATAACAGTTTATGTTTGATGAGGAGGGAGAGGATTATGATTAGAAGGAGGAGTGAAGATGGCTTCTAGGGTGCTAGAAAGGTCTATTTCTTGCCCTAGGTGGTGGATACAGAGGTGTGTTCTCTTTGTGATAATACATTAAGCTATACACATGTGATCTGTGCTCTTTTTATATAAGAATGATTTACTTCCATTTAAAAGTTTAAAAATAATATCCCCATTGGGAAAGACAGTTTTGAGAAATTTTAGAATAGCATTTTGCTTAATGAAACGAGTATCTATTTATTATAGAGAAAAATAGAAGATTCAGATAAGCTAAAGGAAAAAATTACACAAAACTGCAGTGTAGGTCAATGGGAACCCTCCTACGCTGCTACAGGGAGTGTTAATTGCTACTGCTATTCTTGATTAACTGTTTGGCATTATCTATTAAAGTTAAAGATATGCATATCCAGTGACCCAGATTTCCACCCCTGGGTATATACCCAATAGAAATATGTGCATGTGAGCACTAGAAGACAGCGACTCTGTTCATAATAGCCCTGAATTGAAAATAAGCCAAATTGTCCATCAACAGTAGAGTGGATAAATAAAGTGTGGTATATCCAACCTTGGAATACCATACAGCATTGACAATGAATGAACCATAGTACCCTCAGCAACCTGGATGAAATTGAACAACCTAATGTTGAGAGATAGAAGCCAGAGACAAAAAAGCGTATGCTCACATTTACTGAAAATTCAAAAAACAGGAAAAAATATACTATTTAGTAATACATACTTAGGTGGTAAAACTAAAGAAAAAACTAAAGAAAAGAAAAAAAAGGATGATCATTAAAGTAAGGGCAGTGGTGACCTCTTGGGGTCATTCTTGGGGGGAGGGTGGGTTATGATGAGGAAAGGGTGAATGGAGGGCTTCAAGCCCTTGACCTGAGTTGAGTAGTGGTTATGTGAGTGTTCACTTTATAAAAATTGATTAAATTATACTTATATATATACATGCACTTTTCCAAATGTGTGTTATATTTTACAATAAAAAAGGTATAAAAAATTACCTGAAACCCAATTACTCAGAGATAGATAGCAATTTAACACCTTGATCTATATACTGCCAGACCTTCTTTGATGCAATATATACATTCCGTCCACATTGCTTTTTAGCCTTCAATTTTTTTCTCTCTAATGATGTGACCTCCCAGAAGAATTCTTCTTCAGATTTTTTTTTCCATTTCCCTTTAATTTTAACTAAGAGTAAATATCACACAAGTTTTATGCTCCTCTGGAAGCCTAAAGCCATGGAGTGGTTTTCAGGAAATTAGGCTGCTTTAGCCTAAGCTACATTGATTCATAAACCAATCTGCAGGATTTTGCCATAGCTCATGGGAGACTTTCCCTCTCTGTTAATAATGCTGCTGCTTCAAAAGAGAAAAGCCTCTTTTCACTTCTTCAGAGTGCTATCTTTTCAAAAGGAAAGGCCAGGCAATGAGGAGGAAAAGCTGGCTGGGGAGTGGTCAGGAGGCTGGAGGTAGGGGAAGGGGTCATCCTAAAACTTGTTATAATATGCATCATGCTGAGTCCATGCTGAGCCTGGCCTAGGCAACATTATGAAGTAGATTTTCAAAGTGATCTAGGGTTTGTTTTTTTCAACTCCGAAGTAGTTCCATTGCTTTTTCTTGCCCCTGGGACAGTATAAGTTTTCTTCCCTCTGCCTGGAACATGCTTCTTCTACCTCTTGCCCTATCTTCAAGCACTCTCCACTGTTCTCCTTCACTCTTTTCATCATCTTAACTATTACATGGTTGAAGAACCCTTCTATGACCATCTAAGGCTAGGTGGTGACCCCGCAAGAGCTCCATGGCACCCTGGACTTACCCCATCACAGCATTTGTTACCCTAATTTGAAATTGCCTATTTTCTTGTCCACGAATACTCTGCTAATCTGTAAACTCCACACAGGCAAGGACAGTGTCTGTTTCATCATCATAACTCCAACCCCTCAAGCATATTGGCACTCCATAAATATGGTCATTGAATGAATGAAAAACAGTTGTGAAAGGAGAGGAGACATGGCAGGAGAGGTTGTGATTTAAAGTATGCTTTCCCCACTCCCTTCACCTGTTGAGTGCAAATGGCTTCAAATAGTTTAGTCACACCAACACGGGATAGTACAAAATTCTAAAATCTACAACTGCTCAGTTTCAAATACTAGTAACAGCAGTTTGCATTTGTGTGGTGTTTGATATTTTCTTAAGCAGTTTCCTATATTATCTCGTACAATTCCAACAACAAATCCTCCAAGGTGAACTGGGAAGCTATTAATATCACCATTTTGCAGACTGGAAAACTGTCTGAGAGAGCTTAAGTCACTAGTCCCACAATATACAATTAGTTTTTAGTGTAAGCCAGGAGCTAGTGACTCCTTTGTGCTGGAAGTGGAAACGCATTCAGTGGATACTATATACAGATATATCTTCAGGGAATGGGGACATAAAATAAACATGTGACACCATTCTGATTTTTTTTAATCTTTTGTAGATATTTCCCTTTTTTTCCCTAGCATTTATTTTTTAGTTTTATTTTTCATTACACAACTAGTACATATTTGGTGTAGAAAATCAAAACATCACAAATAAGAAAATTGAAATCACTTATGATCATATTAAACAGAGCTATCTATTGTTACACCATTTTAATAACTCTGACTACAAATTAAGTCGTGAGCTCTTGTAGAGTGAAAACTCCCACACTCTATTATTTTTCTTTTTTCCACACTCTTTTCTTTTCTTTTTTTTTATTAAGATTTTATTTTTTCCTTTTTCTCCCCAAAGCCCCCCCAGTACATTGTTGTATATTCTTCGTTGTGGTTCTTTCTAGTTGTGGCATATGGGATGACGCCCCAGCGTGGCTTGATGAGCAGTGCCATGTCCGCGCTCAGGATTCGAACCAACGAAACACTGGGCCACCTGCAGCGGAGCGCGCGAACTTAACCACTCGGCCACGAGGTCAGCCCCTCCACACTCTTTTCTTTATCTCCCAAATTTTCTTAGCTATTCTTGGCCATTTTCTCTTTTATTCAAATTTTAGAACTAGGTTTTACTAAAACTCTCTTGGGATTTTTATTAAGTTTGCATTATTTTTATAGATTAATTTGAGTAGAATTAAAAATTTTACTATACTGTTTCCTCTCTTTCATAAACACAGTATATTTCTCCATTAATTCATGTCTATTTTAATATCTCTTTAAAATATGGAATGCTTCAAGAATTTGCATGTCATCTTTGCACAGGGGTCATACTAATCTCTGTATTTTTCCAATTTTAATATACGTGCTGCTGAAGCGAGCACACAGATATTTCTTAACTGTTGGAGTCTATCAGGAGGGAAAGATAAGAGGTCACATGTTCTTTACCCTCTTTATGAGACAGAAACTGAAAAAGACATTAATCTGGGCTAATTGTATCTGTCAGACATAAATGCATTTAGTTGTGTGCTGACAATGGCAAAAATGTTTCTGGATTTTGCTGTCTTGTCCCATCTATTATCTGAACAAAAGTTCTTTTTCTGTTGATAGTCGTGACAGAAGAAATGCAGCAGGACAAAGGGGTTGGAAGGATGTGAAAAAGAAAAGGAAAGGAAAAGATGGTCAAACATGCGTGTAAGGAGGGCTGTGGAGGAGGGACATGTTGATCGGGCAGGTGAAATGGGTGGAGAGTAACAGGGTCAGGGAAAGGGAACGGCAGCAAGTTTGGATCCTCTGAGTTCCGCAACTCTAGGAAACCAGCAGCATCACTTGGAATCTTGTTAGAAATTCAGAATCTCGGCCCCAACTCAGACCTGCCCAATTAGAATCTGCATTTTAACAGGATCCCCGGGTAATTCCTATGCACTTTGAAGTTTCAGAAGCTCTTAGTCGCCTGCAATCAGTCTGAGCCAATCCTGATGGGTGTCATCAGCCTTAGACCTATTAATAGATGAAACTGGTTTCGTTGCCTAGAGACCTGGAAATCGGGTTCCTCTTGTCGACTCTGAGTCTCAGTGTTCTCTTACCACTTCGGCCAAAGCCTTGGGACTCCAGTCGGCCTCAGTTTCTCTGCGAAGCATTTCAGTTCCCTACAGGGGTTGGATCCTTGCCCTGGACCCCAGCTTCCTCAGCTCCGGTCCTGATGCTCTGCCAAACTCTTGCTCTGCCCCTTCTCTTGGGAAGCAGGATGTGATTGTCTACTCCTTTCTCAGCTTCTGGCTGGAGGCCTGCTGTGACTGGACCAGATCACCTGGAACCGTGCCTGATTCAGACTTTTGTCACCAGGACTTCTTCCAGAACTGTGTTCTGCTGGCAGAGAGGACTCACTCAGATATCCAAATAGCCTGGCCCAATCTGAGCTCGTCAGGCCCTTTGACCACCACGTACTGGCCTGCCAAGCTGCCTCCTGGGGATGGGCCAGCTTCTGAAGACACGCTCTGTCTCCTCTGTCCAACTAGATCTTGGCTTCTTCCCCCTTCCCTTGGCTGTGCTGATATGGTCCCAGCCCGCCCTGCACCCAAATGTCTCCTACAAAAGAGGAGGAGGCCAGTAGAGATCAAGAGAAGCAGGCCTCAGGCCCTTCTCTCTCTTAACATCTATGATTTCAGGACTCCATGGGCCTGCTTCTGTGTGGATCCTGAAATTCCAAACACTGCTCTTGCAGCCCTTTAGGTAAAAGGTATTCTAAAAGTCCTAGAAGACTATTGAGTACTAACAGGCTCAGTAGCTTTACATAACGTGTACTTTTGGCTGTTTTTCCAAGATAAAGAAAAATCTTTGTTGTCTGACTTGTTTTATAAAAACAGGCCAATCCATATAGAAGCTCAATGATTTCTCTAGTTACCATACAACCACTTCACTTTGACTGACTCCCACCACGCTCAATTTATGGTGGAACATTATACAAAGTGTATCACACCTGCTACTGTGTTTTAAGTCAGCCCAAAATGGCATGCAGTTCAAAGCAATAATCAGGTTGGCTGTCAGTTATGGAGGCCAATTTTTAAATAAACATTTACTCTCCATTAATTAATAATGGAGTACCGACTATATCTTTAAGACTGTTGCATCATTTCTATTCTTAAGATTTATTCTTATGGTGATGCAAAAAAAAAAAAAAAAAAAAAATGGAGCAGAAGAAGGAAAAGAAGAAAGAAAGTAGTGTGGCAGCACCCACAGTAGCTAGGTGATGGTGTGGGTGTTGTTTTCATTATTTACATACCTAGCACTTCCACAAGAATCCAAATGTCTTACAAAAGAAAATACAATACAAATTGCAATAAAGACACCGTAACACAGCAAGACATAAAGAAAACAATTATCGAAAGGAAGATTTAAATTTGGCATAAATCATTTGCACAGAAAGAATGGATAAGTATCCATTGACTCAATTTGCACATTCAAAGGTGTGCACATGGTGGGGTTTGCCACATTCAGAAAAGATGTTACATGTAAAATAGAGGTAAAAGAATAGAGGTAATAAAAATTGTCTAAAATCATTTTGAATAAGAAACACATGCTATTTGATGAGGTCACTTCAACTTTCTAAAGTTGCATGACAATCTTATTGAATTAGCAGGGATGAATATATATATATATAGATATATGATTTTCCAAAAGGCACTCATGGCTTAGCAAAATCAAAGCTCCCAGGAAGAAGTTACTCAAGGCTAGAAAGAGGAAATGGATAGGAAACAGAACTTATATTATCATTAACTATTCATTGCTCACTGTCATTGCACCTTTGTAAAGGTCCAAATTTTCTCAGGATAGACTTTAGTGGAGAAATCATGAAAAAACTCTACTTGAAGTTGGTATATAAAAAACAATTTTCATGGATATCATGAAAGTTCTCCTTTAGTTGCTTTCAGCTTTATGCCTGCTGTTATGTCATTATCTGAACAAGGTTCCAACCAACCATTCTAACTTTTGGAAAACGGGAAACCAGTATAGGGAGAAAAATGCTCCCAGGAAAAATTTCTAAAATGTTGCAGAAGCTTAAAAATGGATAATGATATGGAACAACACATCATACTACGCTATTATAACTTTAGTGTGTGTAGTTATAGTCAAACCACTCAAAATTACAATGTCATTTGTCTTCTTTGTATCACTTTTGTTTTCACAAGTCACATGGCAAAATCAACAAATACTACATGATCCCCCTGAGGATTCAGCTGTGGAAAAAGCATCCGCTCGCTCATCTCTAGGGTAGCTATTATTAGCTTGCTTTGATTCTCTCATAGGATACATACCCGTGCTTATTAAGCTGTCTGTCTGTATGCCTCCTTTGTCATATTTCTCTATGAATATGACTACTGCTATGCAGTCACTCCAGTGAAACCCAGAGCTTCTCATTCCATAGGCCTTTCCAAAGTTGAATGTAATCCCTCTACCTTTTAAAATATTACTTGGGGAAAAAAAAATATGCACCATCATATTTGCACTGATCTTGAACCTTTCTACAGAAAATATTACAGTATCAGTACTGGATTGTTTAGTGTCCCCCCCCAAAATCCATATCTGTATGTGAATATGACCTTATTTGGAAATAGGGTTTTTGCAGGTGTAATCAAGTCAAGATGATGCCATACTGGCTTGGGGGGGAGCCCTAACCCAATGACTGATGTCCCTATAAGCAGACCATGCAGACACAGACATATACAGGGAGGTCATCATGTGAAGACAGAGGCAGAAATTGGAGTGATGCAGCTACAAGCCAGAGATGGCCAGTAACCACCAGAAGCCAGGAGAGAAGCTTAGAACAGACGCTATCTCAGAGCCTTAGGAGGGATGTGGCCCTGCTGACACTTTGATTTCAGACTTCTAGCCTGCAGAACTGTGAGATATAAATTTTTGTTATTTAAACCACCCAGTTTATGGTATTTTGTCTTGGCAGCCATAGGAAACTAATACAACCAATACAATGCCCAATCTCAAAATTATGGAAATAAGTACTTTAAACTACTCAAAGACTTGATATTAACTTTCCGGTAGACGATGAGAATAGGGCATGGACCAAAGATGTGGTTTGAAATTGGTCATTCTAACGTCACAAGGCAGGTATAACTACAACAGAATGAAAGTTTCAGCTAAAGCACTAAGACATTGATATCACATTTTAAAGTGATGTCTGAGACCCTCATTCTGCAAAATTTGCAAAGGAGCTTGTCAAAATCTGATTACATGGCCTTTTAACTTCTTACATAAGTGAAAACTATACTATATATACAATGGAATACTACTCAACCATAAAAAGATGAAATCTTGCCATTTGCGACAATATGGTTGGACCTTGAGGGCATTATGCTAAGCATAATATGTCAGATGGAGAAAGACAAATACTGTATGATTTCATTCATCTGTGGAAGATAAAAACCACAATGACTAACAAACACAGAGATACAGAGAATATATTGGTGGTTACTAGAGAGGAATGGGGGTGGGGGGAGGGCGAAAGGGGTAAAAGGGCATATGACAGAAGTTAATTAGACTTTGGGTGGTGAACACAGAAGCTGAAATATAATGATGTCCACTTGAAATTTATATGATGTTATAAGTCACAATTACTTCAATAAAAATAATCTTTTTAAATACATTAAGAAATGAGAACTAGAGATGCGAGGAGAGTGTTGTCTTGTACACAGTAGTCTGTGTTCTGGGTGTTTTCTCCCCTCGTCTTTCTAAGTACTTAGGGGAAAAGAAAGCGTGAGTGGTTCCCTTGGATCAAATGTGAGCCACCCACAAGAGAAAGCAGGCATGGGGTTAGCTTGCATCCTTTCTAAGAGGGTCATCTGGATAGGTGACCAGTTGAACAAAAAACCTGGAGTTGGTGCCAGATTCCTGAGGTCTGAGGAAAGAATTAGTGATCTGCCATATTAAGATGTATCCAGCTGTCTACAGGGAAATGCAGGTGAGAAGCACTACCCTGGCACATCTCTGAAGAACTCATGTAACACCAACAAGGGGGGCAACTTCGAATACCTGTCAAGGCCAGAGAACTCTGATACAAATCTTCACAAGACCACCGGACAAGTAAAAGCTTCCCTGCTGCCCTTTCTTCATCTTCCTCCCAATAGTCGAGCCTGAGAAAAATGTGAAATCACCTTCAGAAAGCTGAAAGGGGCAGGGGTGGGGAAAAGAGAGAGCCTACAGGCTGTGCTCTTTACCCAACTGCAGCCTTTTGTAGGAGGCTGAGCTGGGGAGAGGAGAAGCCCAATTGTTGATGTTTTTCCTCAGACATGAATCCAGGCACGTTAATTACTGACCAAAGGATATGTTACCTGGAAGTGACCAGAAGAATAAAAATTTGCTATAAATTTCA